CAGCACTGCACTCAACCACCTGAGCCACCAGGAAGGCCCCCTATTTGTTTTCAATTTGGCTGTCTATTCATTAGAATAGATTGTCAAACCCTTATCTAGGAATTCATCAGATAAAGCTTCCTTTTCCAGCAGGATATTGTGTGTGTATAGGGCTGTTAAGGAGAGTTCCTTATCACTTTTTCTTCTCCCAGCATGGAGACTGGCATCTCCATTGGGCAAAGAACAACTCTCATTTCAAAGTCAACCTTCACACCTATCCTATCCCTCCTAGCTGCTCCTAGCCTAATGCCTTTGCCCTTCTTTAGGACGAGGGAGTTCTATGTAATTACTCTTAAACACTTCTTCAAATCTGACAGCCCATGCTAGTTTTGATGGGCAGCACTTTTTCAAATAATACTAGTGCTGTTGGGTTTTAAAGTTAGATTAACATGAAAAAGGCCTAACTTATAGACACAAAAATAATACACATGAGTTAGGGAGATGTTTTAAAAGTCCATGATGAAATATTTTCCTAACATTTTCTGTTGTTAATTGCAATTGTCAGAATTGCTACAGTTGGAAATTTTTTCAGATACTGTATTACAATATTGAACTAAAAGTGAAATCAAATTAGTTTTGCAGTGTGGTAAGTCAGCATAAAACATCCTTTAAAATGAATAGTTGCATCACTGAGTATGTTCCAGTGGTAAAGATACTAACACAAAAGTATCACACATAAAATGTTTTACTTATGGGAACAGGTAAGTTCTGTAATTTAATTTATAACAGTCACAAAGCACTTAACTCTCTTAATATGTATTTCCTGTATGCCAGGGAATTTTAAAAACATCTCAATTCAACTATTAACATGCTCAGTGAGATTCAGTAGACTGATTTCTTGTTCTTATTCCAAGAGTAAATGATCTATTAGAGCAAGCAAGGGGTGAAATGTGGGAAGTAGTTGATTAGTATGCAATTAAGAGTACTGATAAGTACATAAAAACAATAAGTCACATGTTTCTTTCTCTTTTTTTTTTGTTCTGCTTCCATAAATAAAGCAAAATATTCCAAGAATCAAACAAATGTAAATGAAACACAATAAACATGACAGGGGAAAACTGAGTAGTTGAATAGCCATTTGCCAAAAGGATAAACTGTTCCAATCATTCAAGCAAACTTTCTCTATTACCATCAAAAAGACTATGCCTTAGTCTGTAAATGGTAAGAATGAAAACTGTCTCTGTACTTTCCACAAACATTTGAATATCCTATCAGGAGAACAACCTTATTTTGTAGAGAAACAACTGTGATTAAGGCTTACTATAGATCATAAAAAAACTGTAGGATATTAATAGTTCAAAGAACTTAGAGGATTTTTCAGCTGTAGATATCTTTAACAAGTAGGATATTTTAATTCAGCAGAAAATAATTTTTGGCATTATGTCTAGAAATAAACCTATTATAGATTTTCAGTTACTTGATAAGAATAACAGCATTTTACAAATCGACATTATTAATGTCACTGTTACATGACAAGGCTTTTTATATAAAGAGGAAACAGATTACTCAGCCTGCATGCCTGTCCTCTATGGACACTCTGTGGTTAGTAAATTTGGTCGATAGGTTTCTAGGACATGGAGGAGTTTAGAGACAATCCACATATACTCGCTATTATTATTTTTTCTTTTCTGTTGTTTTCTTAATTTTTTTTCCTGTTTAAAACCATTCTTTGAATACAGAAATAACCTGGTAACCTTAGAACTGTCTACCCAGCACACCAACACCAAATTAGGCTCCTCAATCATCTTGATTCAATTCAACCTCTTTTGGATATTAATATTATTGCCCCTAAGGACTTGGGAAAATATCCTTAATTAATTTTCCTCCTCTTCCCGGGCTTGTGATTCCTTGGAGATTAGTGTAACCTTTAGACCAGCTTGTTTTTCACACAGATTTGTGTTCTTGAAGGAAAAATAATGTTCCTTGTAAGCATGACCAGAGATGCTGTTAGTAGAAACTTCCCATAAACATTTACTTATTTATTTTCAATGTGTCTAGTTACTAATCTAAAATATTATTTTCTATTTTGTTAGCAGATTTAATAATAAAATTTGATAACCAGTAATTCTAACAACCTATAGTTAAAATTAGTGTTAGTAATTTAAAATGTAATTTTATGAGGTTAAAACATGAAATTTAAAGTAAGAGTTATCCACAATTAGTCATTTTAGAATTCAATGTCATATTTTCTTTTTTAACATGAGAGGGGCAGACAAAAGTCAAAGTCTTGGGTTTAGGAGTCAGACAAGGAATCAAACAAATAAGGGTTCAAATTATAGCATAGTCACTTACTAACTGTGTGATTGTGGATAACTGTGTAATCTTTACTCAGCTTAGGTTTCTTCATCTGTCAAAGATACAAATAGTATGCTTAGCATTGCATCCTTGCTGCAGGAATTAACATACACACTGTGACTTTAGAGTGCTCAGAAATACTATTGAAAGTTGATATTATTAACATTGGCTTCATTAATATTTTGCTTTTCCACTCCTTGGTTTTCTCCTGAATTTCCTGATTAGTGTTCCTGGTTTACATGAGCTGCTCTTGCATTCCTAAACCATTGCATTTCCACATATTATCTCATTTGATATTATAAACATTATGAGGTCTATGAGGTAGTCATTATTTTTTATTCCCTTCTCCAAATGAGGAAACCAAGTTATGCCATCTTTTCAGACAACCCAAATGCCCAAAAATAGATGACTGGATCAAGAAGATGTGGTCTATATATACAATGGAATATTACTGAGCAATCAAAAAGATAAACTTATGCCATTCACAGCAACATGGATGGCACTGGAAGGGATTATGCTCAGTGAAATAAGGCAGCAAGAAAGAAAAATTATCAGATTGTTTCACATATTGGAGGAATGTAGAGAAGCCAAATAATTGATAAAAAACTATAATAAATTAAAAATGAAAATCAACAGACAACTATAAATCAGAGACATTCTGTAGGGAAGGAGGAGAAGAAGAATCAAAAATAGGGGAGGGAAGAGCACAAGGGACTATGGTGATGGTGCACAGGTGAATTGGTGGTGGGAATTGTATGGGGACCACAACTGAGAGGAGAAAGTATACATTGTACAAAAATGAAGAATGATGTAAAATATATATAAAAAATAAACTTGGATTGTGATGGTGAAGGAAAAAAAGATCATTTTAAATGAACATTTCTGATAAGCAGATATTCTAACTTCAATAGCTTTGGGTTGACATGATCATTCTGAAGATGTCTTCCAATTTATTACAAATATCTCTTCATTTAGCAGTTAATATATGCCTATTCTATATGCTATAGTACACTGTCTAATATACTATATATGTAAACTATATAGCACTTCTGTAAATACTTGACGAGATTGGCACTTATACTATCCCTCCTTTACAGACAAGAAAACTGAGTCCTGATTAGTGGTGCAGCCAAGATAAGAAAGGAGCTACTTTGCCTCTAGGGCCTGTTCTCTTAACCATCAGCTATATTACCTCATAGACGGTAAATTACATTACAAACTTGGCTGCTTTTCAAATTTTCATTGTTCCTCAAATCATAAATTTCAACATGTCACATTGTTACTAAAACAAAATAATAATAATAATAATAATAATAAAAAGCCAAAAACTTGAATAGAAATCATTTCCTGGGAGATTTATATTCTCACAAGCAAGACTACTGCACAATTCACAGAGCCCAGTGCAAAATAAAAGCACACTCCTCTTGTGAAAAAATTAAGAATTTTAATTAGGCAACAGTAGATCATTAAAACAAGTGTGTAATCCTTTGAAGTGTGAGGTCCTGTGAAGCTAAAATGTTGCACATCCATGATCAGCACTGACTCAGAGAAAACCTCTGACTGTGAATTTGGCCTCGACGCCCCATGCAGCTTTCCTTCTGTAGATCTGAAAAAAAAGCTTCACAGTAATAAGAGAACAACAATATTGGAGCCGTTTTACTAAAGTCCCTGTCCCAGAATCACTCTACCTTCTCCATTAAGAGCACCTGAAGCAATAGGACTGTTGATGAAGTAAGACTTGGAGAAAACCTAGGTTCCCAGATGCTTCTGGATTATGTGCACTATGAAAAGGAGAAGTAGAGACCACTTTTCATCTTGGCAGTCCACAGTAAGTTGGTAGTCAGGATGTGGGAGAAGAAAGAGGAAGCCCTGGGGGTCTCTCACCAACCCACAAAGGGAATCACCCTTATCTCCCTTTAAAATGGTGGCAGAGATATGTGAAACGCACCCAGTGGCTAGCCGTGTTTGGAGGGTGTCGTGGTAACCTATTACTTAAAATCAATAAGCCTAATCATCACATGCTTTGTTATTTATCCTTTTAAAATTATAGATGAAGTGATGTTTTACATTTTTCTTCCTTTTAAAAGTGGGAAAGAGCTGCATTTTTGAAAAATACATGTTAATTCTTGGACTTTGAGTCCCTCTGCTGTGTGCACACAGATACTGTTACTCAGTCTTGTAGGCAGCCAGGAATTAGGGCAGGTGAATTGCAATTTTTAGGTTTAAACTTGAGTTCCTTTCCATACTGGTTTTGTAACTTTGAGAAAGTTAATTAACCTCTCTGAACCACAGTTTTTCACTCTGTAAAGTGAGAAAATTTTTAAATAATAACCTCAGAAGATTTTTAGAAGCATTAAGTGTATGAAAGTGTTTTGTGCAGTGCCTAGCACACTGTAAAAGCACAACAGATTATACACTATTGTGTATAATTTGTGAATATTTGAATCTGCAAAACAAAGAGCAGAAGCAATTGTATACCCATCACAAACAGTCCTTATCTGTCCTCATTTGAATATGCAAATGAGCATTTAAAAAACAAAAAGGAGAGCTTTTTTGCTTTGAGAGTGAACTAAAATAATTTCAACAGTAGTTGTTAAATGTATTTTCCATGAGACGAGTAATTTGCCTCTATTTTCCAGGAAGTTCTATTTGAACGTCTGACTTAGAGTTCAAATGAATTATTCTTGGACTTTGAATTATTAATCTTGGCTGCATGATATGTAAATAAGACTGCAGTGACTATAACTATGTCTAGTTGCACGGCACTGGGTCAGAAGCAGTATCAAGTTGCTAGCAAAGAATTTCTGTCAAAGGATTCGGTCCTTCCAGCACAATGGTAAGTACAATGCTACTTATACTGCACAAGTATATAAAGTGATACTAGACTTCCCATTAGTTAGCGTTCCTTTTAAAAGTGTCTTAGAGGCAATGAAGGTTTTAAGTGATGTTTAAATGAACTGTCTGAATGTTATCCCTAAGCATATGTAGAACAGTAGAAGAAATTATAAGGAAGCCACATTGGTGTCCTCTCCGTTTATATTTTACCAAATTAAGTGCATTGTTTTCATTGCCAAAGCTTATATTAATTTTCTTAAAAGAGATTTGTTATATTTGCTAATGTCTTGGAAATTTATATTTCAGCAGAAATGGTACTTGGATTTAATTTAAATAAATATAACTACTTTACTTACAGAAAAAAACTTAAAGTTCCTAAATTATGTGAAATACTTTATCATGTACATTTTCATGTTTAGAAAACAATGTGTTAGAGGGAGTTTTAAGGTACCTAAAAGTTAAATTTAGCATTTATGTTTGTAAAAATTACATCATTCAAGAAAAGATGGAAAATTGCAGAAACTATTGTTATTATTGTTATTATTATTAAAATTGCAGAAACTTCCTGAACTTTCTATAATTTCTTAAATATTTTAAAGAAATTTATAAACATGCAATGTGATAGCACGTTATCACCTTTTGTACCTTGATTTTTAGTGTAATTTTTAATTATATATAAGTAATGTAATCATCAACATTAAATTACTGTATTTTTTCACTGTGAATATATATTTTCATGCAAATTGTTTATTAATGAAAGAAGCAGTTAGCTAAAGCAATACTCATTATGAGTATTACTTAATTTAATTTGAGTTTCAAAATATACATTTTTTAAAGACTGACTACAATTAAAGTGAAAGAAACATTAAAACATTAAAGAGATTAAAATGAGCACTACTGATCTGTTGACAGAAATAAATTGAACACTGTTTCTAGTTTAATAATTCTATTAGGCTTAGATATATTTTGATATATATAATTTAAAATTTCATCAGAATTGGCAATATGTTTTAAAAATCTGTTTTAAGAAATTCATTCAAATCAGCCATAGTCTATGTACCATAATTTGTATTTTCTAAAAATCAAGTCTGTAAGCACTAGAAAGCAAAAGAGAGAATATGAACTTTTCATGAGACAGTTTCTCCTTTAATTGGGAATTTTTCTTAAGGTAGCTTACTTCATCAATTTGTGGAATGGTGATGGCTGCACTAAAAACATACTTAATTGTAATTTGGAATCTAATTTGGATCCAATTGAGAATCTAAATTGTGGGTCTTGGTGAGGTTAAATTGACTAGCAAATATTAAACAGTTTTGCCTTTAGAAAACCACAATTTATTCATATTATGAACTTAGAAAAAATATTTTTAAATGAAATAAATTAAACAAAGAAGACTAAAAAGCATCACAAAATATATACTCTCATTCATGTAAAAATAAATTCAAATTAATGTTATTTATAGTCTAGGAAGCTATCTAAGTATTAAGAGCACTAGGTTTATGGACAATTTCATCTTTTGCCTATCTGTATTTTTAGTGAGTGTTATATAATATGTACTTTAAAACATTATTTGGAAAAAAAATGAAACAGTCACTCAGAGAAGTAGGACAAAGGAGACTAGTCATTCATTTTCCTTATTCCATTCCTGGTATTCTCTATCCCTATTTCCATTAATCTCTCATTCTGTAGACAACTCAAAGGCAAAAGAATTCTCTAAGACTTCAACATGGCTCTGAGCTTGCTTTGTGGTGCAATTGTTAATCTGACTTCTTCAGTCTTTATGAAGTATTTTCTCTCAGAGGCAGTCAAACCTTTCTGCTGCACATAAGCTACTGACATCCATCAGTATATGTAAGAAATGATAAGGCAGAAAGGTAAGAATTATGACCAGGAGGAAATTCAAAAATGAAACAAATGAATTTCTTAAGTGAAGAAAATTTTCTGTTGTCTTAATATTCATTTGAGTGTGAGCACCAGCTTTTTGAATATTTCCAAAAGAAAAAAAGAAAAAAGGAACCCATACTGAGCCTTGAAGAACTCTAACATTTAAAGTTTGGGCAAAGAAGGATTAGCCCACCAAAATATTTTACAGAGAGAAAAGAGGACAGACAGCAAGGAGATTGCCATGTCATAGAAGGCATGGAAGAAATGCTTGCAAAAGAAGGAAAATTAGGAGATTGTTATGTAACAGACAGGAAAGGAAGAGGGTGCTCCTAAAGTCACTGTATGAAAAACAGGTGAGATAGCAAGTAAAATTAGCAAAAAATAGCTATTAGATTGAGAACTATAGATGCTATTTTGGTGGATCTGCGGGCCTGAAGCCAAATTGGAGTAGACTGAGAAAGGAATGGATGTCAAGATGTCAAAACAATTAGTGAAAATAGCCTTTTTATATGTCAAGTGATGACAAGGAGGGAAACATGTGAAACCGGGGAGGTTTGTCCTTATTTTTAAGATTGACAGGGCAAGAAGGTTTTAATGCTGATGGAAAAGATGTAGTTGAGTTGGAGGAGAAGTCTGAGTAGACAGGATAAAGAAGTGTATCACATAGGATGATGGGAATTTGAGAATCAGTTGAATCAGGAGTAAGACCAGAAGAACAGACTTCCTCTGTTGGCAGAGGGACACATACAGAGACAGGGATCAGAGTGGATATCTGACAAATGAGCTTTATTTCAGAGAAGACAGAGGCAAAAACATCTACTAATGATGAGTAGGGAAGAGTAGGTGGGAGAGGTTTGAAAAAATTGTACAGCATATGAGATTGAGAAATGAGGTTTATTGCTGGGAATGAAGAGAGCAGTAGAATAAGATAATCCCAAAAACAAAGTGAAGCTTGGTTCCTTGGCAGTGCCATCTGCTGCCTGAGGAAGCACCTACCCAGCTTCTCCTATCGTTGAACTTAGTGGCAGGTTTCCATGGAAAGATATGGGGAGAAGCTCAGAGGAACTTAGGAGGTTTTAAAGTAATTAAAAATAGCTTATCAAAATATTGAACATAACATGTTTACAATTCCATGACAGATTTTCATAAATAAAACCCACTCAAAATACCAATGATCTTTAGTTGGAGTAAATCACTTGACTTTGTCAAAAGCAGATAAGAGTTTTCCACATGCCTTCACCATAATGAATTCTGCTCATTGTTGGCAAGCATACCCCCAAGGAATCGCAGGTGCATTTGTTTTTCTTTGCCTCTGTGTACCAAAATGCCTTGCTCAAAGACAATCTGTCAGGGAGATTTTTAGAAAGTTTTATTTTCAGCCTCACTTTCCCTTATTAGAAATAAGTGGCATATTTAACAATAGTGATCCCATACATTTTTATGAAAGTCAAGTTTTTGAGATACCTGGCCCCACCACAGTCCGACTTCGTTGCCAGAGTAAATGGCAGGTGATTAAGGCACTTGAGGTTCGGGTGAATGATTATTTATTTTCATGGGCCCTGTTTGGATAAGGTCTTTTACTATGTGTATAACCTCAGCAAAATACTTAATTTTCCAAGCCTCAGTGACTTCACATGTAAAGTGAAAGTAGTAACAGTGTCTCCTCATTATGTCATCTTGGGCATTAAATGGAATTAATCCTTAGCCAGTGTTGAGCAAACACATTGTACATGATAAGCTTTCAGTAAATAATAGCCATTGTTATCATTGCTAATATTTTTAGCTTCTCCACATTAAATTTTTTAAATATCCTTTAAAATGAATTTGTAGTTTATAAATTTAATATAATAAACATGATTCTTTATTAACATGGAAACAAAATAAATGCTATTATAAGAGCAAAACTAGAGTTCTAACAATCCCAGTTTCCTCTTCTGGGTTTGAATCAGTTCTACTTAACTCACAGAATTTGTCAAGAAACTACAATATGCTGGAGACCATGGTGGGTCCTGGAGACACAACAATGAAAGTAGACACCTCTTCACTTTGTCAGGTTGCAGTGTCAGTGCCTTTGAGGTTGAACAAAGCCAAAGCAGCTTTTCACTCATGGCTCTGTGATGGGGAAACACTAAGGGAAAGGGCCACTAAGGGGGGAAAGAAAACATGGAGGATCCCACACCCTGGCATTACAGTGGGGGCAGGGCCCCAGGGGTAAGATCTGCACCCCTCCAGTTCAATGAGAACAGGGATACTTCTTAACCTTTTTGCTGTTTGTCATCTTCCATGTGTGTTTCTATCTCAGGGCATTTGCATGTACTTTTCATGATGTCTGGAACACCCTTTGTCATTCTGTTGCATGCCTTTGCTTGTTTATGCCCTAATTCTTCCTGAGAGAATGAAATTTTTGAGATTAGCAACTTTGTTTTACTTATATTGGCTGTTATCCCCAGTGCCCAGCACATATTTCAGAGGTTCTCAGAGCAATAAAAATAACCATATTTTATGTAATGACTATTCAAAACATATCTAGTTTCCACTTTCTTGACCTATGTGAAGTTATTCAGCCTCTCATTAGTTTTAACCTCCAGGAGATAAGGCAACAAATTGCTAACTTGTATAAATAAAAATTAATAATTCAGAGCTTCTGTTACAATTATTTGCCCCCTCTCTAATTCAGAGCTTTAATTCTGAAGAAATTGTTCATTGTTTTAATCCTATGTGCATTTCCAATACACAAGTGAAATTGAAAAAAATGTAAATAAGTATTTGTTGAAATTATATATTAGTGGCATAAGTATGGGTGTGCAGATATACTATTTAGTGATGTAAGCTACTCTCAGTTTAACTTTTAAGTGGAACTTTTTATTATCACATTAAGCACAATATTGTCTTTAATTGTAGTTTGTTATATTCATATGTTTATGTCTCTTCTTTAGGTATGGAATACAACTTGTAAAAACTGGCAGGCCACAGAGTTTGCCCTGGAAACGTACTACCTTCCCATTTTTTATGGGATTGAGTTTGTTGTGGGAGTTATTGGGAACACAGTTGTTGTTTTTGGCTATCTCTTCTGCCTGAAGAACTGGAATAGTAGCAACATCTATCTCTTTAACCTCTCTATCTCTGATTTGATCTTCTTTTGCACCTTCCCTTTGTTGATAAAGAGTTATGCCCTGAAAGAATGGCTATATGGGGGCGTGCTCTGCATAATTAACCGATACATCCTTCATGCCAATCTCTATACCAGCATTCTTTTCCTCACTTTGATCAGCATCGATCGATATATGCTCATGAGGTATCCTTTCCGGGAACACGTTCTGCAAAAGAAGGAACTTGCTATCATATTCTCTTTGGCCATTTGGGTTCTAGTGACTTTAGAGCTACTGCCCATACTTCCTTTTCTAAGTCCTGCATTAGTCAATGGCACCATCTGTACTGATTACGCAAGTTCTGGGGATCCCGAAAGCAACCTCATTTATAGCCTGTGTCTAACCCTCGTGGGATTCCTCATTCCTCTTTTTGTGATGTGCTTTTTTTATTTCAAGATGGCTCTCTTCCTAAAGCAGAGGAACAGGCAGGCTACCATTGCTTTGCCCCTTGAAAAGCCTCTCAACTTAGTCATCATGGCGGTCGTGATCTTCTCCGTGCTTTTCACTCCCTACCATGTCATGAGGAACATGAGGATAGCTTCCCGCCTGCGGAGCTTTAAGAAGTTACCCTGCGCAGAGGCCATCATCAGCTCCTTATACATTGTGACTCGACCTTTGGCCTTTCTGAACAGTGTCATCAATCCTGTCTTCTATTTCCTTATGGGAGACCACTTCAGGGAGATGTTCATCAATAAAATGAGGCATTACTTCAAATCTTTTACATGCTTTAGATAATGTCCTCATGGACTAATGTTTTCATTCAGGGAAAAATGAGATCCTGCGGAAACATTGTTTCTCACACATGCTACTGTAGGCCAGTTCGAGTTTGATAAACTCATAGATGTATATTAGAGAGGGTCACAAATCTGACCCTGATTTAAAGACTTGGATCCAGGTGTGTGAAAAGAAGGACGTGAGAAGAATTTATTGATTTGTTCATCTCAAAACGGAAATGCATTGGGTTAGCACCATCTAATGTTTGAAAAGATGCGTTCAATATCCTAGGGGGAAGAGGAATAAAAGTTAAAAGAACAGCATTTTAATCATTGGTCAAATTGCGTGAAAAGAAATCTGTGTTAAAACATTTTTTGTTCTTATTCATATGATTCTATAATATAATGTGAGAACTGAATAGCAGAAGATTAAACAGATGCTATTAATTTTACCATTGTTAGCTCTTGAGACAACTTAAAGTAAATAATAGCAGTGGCAAACAAGAAAACAATATAATGAATTCAGGGCTTATTTTGTTGTTTGTTGTGTGGTTTATAGTGCAAAAAACCATACTAAATAGAACCTTAAAAGATGGTTCAAGAAAAAGAGAGATACTTTTGAGCTTGGATCGCAGGAAATTTAGATATAAATAAATTTATCAAAATAGTAAACAGAAATAACAAGAATTATTGTTAAAAAAAAACCTCAGCTATAGAACACAAAATGCCTATCAAGAAACCCAAAAGCAAGACAAGACAAAGGAAAAGAGAGTACACTGCATTTGTTATGATTCTGCCATCTGGCATTTTATTATCACAATTTGATTTTCAGTGCATGGAAATATATTAAAGTTCATTAGCCTTGCTGTTTTTGATTAAACAGTAAACTTTAAAATATATTAATATCATAAAACCAGCAAATAAGAGGAAATGAAATGCTAATACCCAAATTAGTTGGGTTAATTTTTCCTTTTGGAGGGAAAGTCATAATATTTTCTCCCTGCCCTTCCATACCACACTTGGTTAATTTACAAGGACAATTTTATCTCAGAGAGAGAATAATTTAAATCTGGAGTGAGCCCTTGTTCTCACAGAAAAGGATATAAAGCATTGGAGGAAATGTTCTAAATAAAATGCACGTTGTGATTTGTAGACTATAAGGAATATTTATGTGCATATCTATATATTTTTTTCTGAAGAAGTTTAGTTAGACACCATTTCAGGGCATAAAATAAATTTAGGACAAAAAACAAGTGTTGTATTAGCTTTTCAAAGTCAGACAAGTATCGCATAATAATAATTCACTTATTATATGCTAAAAAAAATGTCCATAAACTCCTTTTGTTGAAATGTTTAACTAAAAGGGGTAAATGACCTGAAGGATAAAATAAGCATCAGCCTGCTTTGAGATGCTCTGGCAACATTATATTCTGATATTACAAAAACCCAAAATGTTCTCAGTTAAATGTTTGTATATTGCAGCAACTGGAACATAATAATGCATTACTCATAAAACATTTGTTCTCTTACCTAACATTCAACTGTAAGATATGTTTCATACTTAACTATTTTTTATCAATTTTTTTTATTTCTGTGTCATTTTATAACTGCTTGATAATAAACTGAAAACAGACATTCCTGAATTGCCTCATTAGAAAGGACTACTGAAAGGGCCTTGGGAAAGAAGTATTTACTAATCTCTCTAAACAACAACATAAAATTTAAGTATAATTTGTATTTTGTGCATTGTTTTAAATTTATAAAGAAGAAATTAAATTTGTCCCACTTCTACTCCAAGGGAGGTAGTGATGGACTCTAATAGTAGAGGGAAATATTGTGTAAAGCCATAAACTCTTACACATATCTTGTAACCAAAATGTTACATAATTTTGTAGCCCATTTCTTAATTCTTGTCTTGCTCAAATTTGTACTGTGGAAACTTAATCTTTAAAAGAGTAAAGGAATGTGCATTAAAATTCTAAGACCGATGCCCTTGTGTTTTGTTATAGGTAATTGTAAGAATCACAAACAATGAATAGTGGAAATCTTACCTGAATTTATGGTTTTCAAAACAATGAGGCAAATTGTCTTTTAAGGGTCCTCTGGTGTCTTCAGAGTCCCATCCAGCACTTTGCAATTTGAATCCACCTATTCTCCCACCTGTATTTTCCTTAAGTGCTACCCTCTGGTCAAGAGAGCTACTACATTTCATTCTATTCAGAACATTATTCACTGTATTCCATTACACCCACATTATAAAATTTCTATTTGTATGTCTATTTTAGATGTCACTCCTTTTTTTAGAGGTTTTTTTTTTTTATTTATGCATACAAGCACTGGGGTATAGGCCAAAGGTGCAGGGGCGGGAGGTGGGGTGAGAGGATTCACCAGAGATAGAGTGGGGAGCAGACTAGGCAGATCTACTGAAATACACTGCTGAGGGGAATAGCAGGCAAGTCGGGAGAGGTCTGCTGCACCATGTGGGTCAGCAACCTGGCCTGGGATTGAACTCAGTCCTTAGTGACTGGTGAAAGCTTGATATGGCTGAGACTTTAACCCCTGTGCCACCAAGGAGGCCCCTGTCACTCCTTCTTAAAGCCTTCCTTTAGATCTCCTCCCATAATCTGAAAGTAAATATGTCCACTTCTGAGTCTCCAGGCTACTTTTAAGTGCTGGTTTTATGAAATGCCTGATCTTTCATCTTATATTATAGTTGTTTAGGTTCCAGTAAACTCCAAGTTCTGTGAATGTAAAACATAGCTAATTTTTTATTACCCTCATAGCATAACACCTAGCAACAAACACTTCAAATGATTGTCAATTATGAATGAGTGCCTTAGAGAACAAGTTTGGATTCAGTGCTCCTTTGCAGTCTGCATAATCAAACTATTTTCTGTCACCACTAGTTTTATAAGTAATCTATTTTATCTAAAGAATACTGAATACATATGTATATACATTATATATACATGTACATATCTCTTTTATCTCAGAAGAGCGAAGGCAGTGGAGTAAGGCATACTAGAATAACACAAGAGTGATGGGAATTTAGTGATTAGTTATTACAGTTGAGGAAAATATTACACACACACACACACACATACACACACACACACTTCCTACTAAGATGGCAACCTGAGCCCAGCAGAGTTCCTTCTCACTTCTTTCTAGCACTTCTCTTCTATCAAGTGTCATCACCCTATCACTTATTTAGTCAGTCATTTAGGAATAAACATTATTAACTACAAATATTGAATATGTCAGGATATAAAACAACTCATATATTTGCATTTTATGCATTATATATGCAAATGCATGTCTTAAAATATAGTTATAAAAAATAAATATTTTCCTCTCATACCTGTCTTCCATCACTAGAAAGAAATTCTTAGTCCTAAAGCCAACCATCCCCATTAGTAAAGAGTGTAGGTTTCCCAACTGTCATATCTCTGACTAGATATACATGTTCAAATTCCTGGATAAACTTCACTTGGCCTTGAATTCAAGCTTTGATCTTCCTTTGCTATGGATTCCTATGGAATTACTCTTTTTGTCAGAGCCACAATGGGGAAGAAATTCAGGCCCTAAATTCCACCCTAAGCCTTCAATACCAGAAATAGTAATAGCAAAGCAAACACTTAACTGGCATTAACTGGCATTTAAAATGTGTCAGACACATTTGCTGTGGCAGTTTGTAAATTTTAACTCATTCAATACTTACCAAAACCTATCAAGTTTACATGCGAGGAAACCAAGGTTTAGAGAATTTGTTGGGTTGCTCCAGGTTACACAGTCAGTAAGTGGTACTACAATCTTCAGAGACCACAGATTTAACCTGATGCAGTAAACTATAATTGCATAGAAGTTGCATAGAAGTTTTAGGATCTGTCCAAGGATATTTATTTCATAATCTGTCATATGGTTGGATCCCAGTGTTATTTTATAAAATTTCTAAGGAAGACCACTCTAGGATAATGCAAAATGACTTTTATGATAAGGTATTGAGTGACAGTCACATTTTATTTATAAGAATAAGATATGGGATGCTTTTATAATCTTGAATTTAATCACATGGTATGGAATCCATGAATATTATTTTCACAAGATAGAATAAAACTAAGAATACTTAATATATCAGAACAGAATAGACCAGGCATGTGATGTTTCTAGGAAGCTATAATAGTATTTTTGTAATGTAGTATTAAGTTCTGTGACTCAGAACACTGTATATTTTAGTGAGATTTACCATCAGAATCAATGAGTTATATTCATATTTTATCAAAATGCTAATAATATAGAAATGTTTTATTGGAAAATTTACTCTGATAACTTTCCATTGAAAATAGCAATGTATTCAAATGCAAAATTTGCTCTTGTCCTGTATATAATATTCAATTAGATGTGTTAAATCTAGCAGTAAAAATATTGACTTAACTTGTTTCCTAAAGATAATAAATCATACTAATTTTCATGTCATATTTAAATTCATGTAGAACAATATGTCATACTGATGTGTGTGCATATTTCACATACAGAAAAGAAACAAGGAATGTGCTATATAAGATTAATAGCTCTGTCATGGTAACTCACTAGCTCTCCCAAGAAAGTTGCGATATTGTCCCCAAAATACTATTTAGGAAACAGGATTTAAAAAAGCCACTAATAGAGCCCTCAAATCAAGTGTCAGAACTGTCTAAAAATTAGCTCTAAATCCAAAGAGATGTGAACTCTCGATGACAATGTCTTTTGAAGTGAAGGTAAATAACACAATATTCAATATACTAAGATATAAACAAAAAAAATCTGTTCAAAACTACCGTGGGTCAGAATTTTTCAGTAGCAAAACATTGATATGGAAATAACATGTTTAACTTTTTCCTCCTAAGTTATGTACTTTATTTAATCTAAGATTTAACTTCAGAGAATGCAAAAGATTTTTCAAATTAATTTAATGAAAACTAATTTCAGAATTATATAGTCAAAATATGCTAAGTTAAAATATATAAAAATACATATTTTAAAAGTCTGCATTTAAATTCATTTGTGCTAATCTTGAAAATTATTCTCACGGGAAAATATGAGGGGATACTTTCTTAGACTTACAAGCAGTTGCTGAAACAGTTGAGGTCCCAGCTTGCCATTATTACATTGTACAGACTTCCTGTGGGTTTTAACGGATAAAAACTAAGTAAGAAATATTTTGTTGTGCTGGAATATTGGCATAATCTACAAGTTTCCAATGCATGCATAAGAAACTATTATCTCGGCTTTAGCGTCAGTTAATCCACAGCTAGAATAAAGAATGTGCATGGAAAAATGTGGGGCGGTGCAGCATGCCTTTTATAGGTATGAGGAACTCTCTGGACCCATAGTTAAAAGCAGGCAAGTTCAGCCAATTCTTGCCCAGAAAAAAGTCTTAAAAAGGATATGTGTGATTCTGTGCGCAGCCAATGTGGGTCACTTGGATATTTTTTCTGCTTCATGTCTGAGTTCTGCAGAGAAGAGTAGATATAAGTTAATTCAAGAAGAGGTGTTTTATTAGAAACTTTTTAAAACATTGGGGGAATAAGCAGCATAGCTTTCAACTATGCTGCACAACTTCCTTTCACACATATTACCCAACACCCACATAGAGTGCAAGATAAAAATACAGATGAAAAGTTCTCCCATACTCAGTCATGGAACTGTTTTTCTAATGCAAATTTTATAATAGTTATTGGCTATGTTGGTGGTGCTACAGGAACCTTAAATGCTAGATCTAAGAGTACCCATCAGGAACAAAGTGGTTAGTCAGATCTTCCTGTTCAGCAATCCTAGTATGATAACATAAAAAAGAATTTGCAAAAGCCGAGGGGATGGCTGGATGAGCATATTCATGTGTACAAGTGAGACATGTCCCACTGGCTTTACAAAAATACACACACCTGGGCAGGACTTTAGACGTGCTGAGTAGTGGAGTATGCACTAGTACAAGCTTTGGTATTCAATGAGTCCATCTGTGTTCCCAAATTGGTGAACCAATATATATGACATGTATATATACATTTGCTATAGGGAAATATAAATATCCACATACTCAATACATTTAACAGAAAGTAAAGCTCACTACTATGTCAATTACAAATTTACTTACAATTGTAAATGCTATAAATTAATAAATATAAATTTTTATACTCAAATCACATATAGAATCAAGTAAGAGTCAAAGGTACAACTTATTTTCAAATCAGCATTATTCAAATCATTTCTATTACACAAAATACTCCCTACTTTAAATGTAATAATTTGTTAGAATATTGTATTATTTTATTACTTTTATTTTCATTTAAGGCATTCTGATATATTTCATGAGCTGGAAAGAAATATTGGCTCTAAGTGTTCTCTAACAATTAGGAAAATAAAGTCTTTAAAACTTTTTTTAATTTTTCTTTTCTGTATCTTTGGAGGACATAATGACCTTTTACAGAATAGTGACGATAAAGCTGATAAAATGATACCTACACCAGCAGCGAGAGCTCAGCCACTCCTGGACATCCATTATGAGCTACAGCAGCAAACAGCAGGGCCTGGGCCCTGCTGGCTGAGGCTCTTGGAGCTGCAAGCCAGAGGACACAGGTCTGAGAAACAGTCTCGTGTTTGGGGTGGGATTGATTATCCTTTGGATAGCAGAGACCAGTGTAAAATTCAACAAGGTCAACACGGAGGAGATTCACACTATATTGAGCAGAAGATGGGTGGAGAGAGGAGGAGGTTGTGGTCTGGGGTAGAGAACACCAGTGTCAGGGCTCTCGGCTCAGCCATTTCCCTGGGGGTGAGGATGAGCAGCACTTGTTGTAAAGACCCACACTCTTAAATTAGAGGAAAGCCTTGTGGGGAGCCAGGTTCTCTGCACAGGCTGGGTCTCTCGTAGAGATAATAGCAGAGCAGGCATTCTGAACTCCCTCTTCCTACTTAAGACTGGTGCTTACCATGTGAGGCACATGA